AGCTCAAAATGAGTTACACTTTCACACAGCCTGTATGTGGTGGAATTCATATCTATATGATGCTGTAAATGCAAGAGACTAAAACAGTTACAGAAAATGTTCAGACAAAATCACTGAAGCAAATTCTGGCTAGAGCTGTTAACTATGACAGTGCCATTCCTGGCTCACAAATATGCCAGAGCGGTACTACCATATGCTGGACTTTTTCCTATCCTCTTTCCTAGACACCCTTATCGTCATCCCCGGAGGCAGTATATGCGTCCAGACGGACCTTTGATTTTACTCCATATATCTATTCTTTTGAAACGTGTAAGTGTGGTGTAGTAATGAATGAAACCAAACCAACAGAATATGTGAAAACATTGGTTTTGTATGGAGGAACTCTCTGCACATTGTAATGGCTCCCTAGTATGCCTCTTTTTAATTTCAGGATAAAATGAGGTATTTTAAATAGATTATGAAACTGTTGATGATTTCATTAAATGAATGTGATATAGAAAATACTATATCAGACCATGAAACTGAGTGAAGGACATTAGAAAGGAAGTTTTTTCCCCTGCTATTTTTTGATCACCTCTGAAATACTGTTACCATGTAAGATGTAAGTGGAAGTCATATGTTTGCTTTTATAAACCAATTTATTTTAGTAATCTAATTTAACTATTAACATAAAAGGAAAATGTGTAGACCTCAAAGCTAAGCAGGACAGTTGCCCTGTAATGACAGAATAAGGTAGAACTTAGCATTAGCTGAAAACACCTGTCAGCTACAATATGTGTTTCTAAGAAGTATGGGATGTACTGTATTTAAAGAAGATACATTCTAAAAATACATTGAAACCATCCAAGTGGAGAAAAAAAATCCATCATAAAAATGAGGCCTCCTTATTTTAATAAAGCATATTAAACTACTGGATGTATGGTTGACTGTTATAATGATGTCTTAGTATCCTTTTTCTTTAAGAGGAGGAGGGTATGGCTACTATAGGTCTTGAAGGAAAGATGTTCCTTCCTTTCTGTATTAGGAAAAAAGTCAGATGGCATATTGAAATACTCCACAAGATGATAACAAGAAGGCTCAGAGCTGAGTTATCTCTGCAGCCATCAACAATAGTGATCGTGTTTCCTTGCATTTGGCCTTTACCCTTTTTCTCCTAACCATTATTGCTAAAACTCTGTAGTATATTCCTGTCTCTGTGACCTGCACCACTTTGAACCAGCATTGCCTTCTCGCTCTTGAGCTTGTGTGCTCCTCCTCCCTGTTTGTTCACCAGTGATACCTCTTAAAATAGCCATACTTCTGTGTTTCCCGTTGTACTGGGACAGCTTATAGCGTTCACAAGTTCTTCTGGTTTAGCTAAGTGAAATAAAGTAAGTGAAATAAAAAGGTTATTCCATGTTTTATATTACACACTAGATATCCCAAATATTTTACTTCCATTATTCATAATTCTCTAAAATCACTTGAAGCTTAGTCTTCTATTTGCAGTCCACCATTAAAATAATACCATGCTATTTTTTCTTCAGAAACATATTTCAGTTGAAGAAATTAATGGTTTTGAGAGTTAAAGATTTATAAGTCTCTTAATTATTATAGGAACACCACCCCACTCCTACCTTATTTTTAATGAAAGTTTTGAACCAGGATAGTTTCTTCTCTGGATACTGTAGCAAAGGGGAGCTGATTATTGAAGAGCCTTTTAAATAAGCAACTCGTGGCATGCAGCTTCCTTAGATATTGTTTGCATGATTTTGAAGTGTGATTTGAAATGAATGCAAGATCAATAGCTTGAATCTGTATTTCAAAGTTTTTTTTTTAAGTGTTTTACTTGACAGAGTTCATATCTAAGATCTGAAAGGCAGCGTTTGCATAGTGAATTCTGAATTAAACAGTATTGAAATTTGCTTTTGCCTGTTAAAAGTGAATTTGTATACTATTTTTCATCTTTATTTTAGAGCTTTTAAAAAGAAACACAACAAAATACCCAACATGCCTGACAGATCAATGAAACCATGACGCTTTCTGTACTTCTTGCTTTTTTCTGCATAGGCTTATATTTTAATATTTTGAAAGAAAAAGTATGATACAAAAGTAAGATTGATGTAAAAAATTTGTAAATATTCCCATTTGTCCTATATTGTTGTATTCAGTTTTTAAAATCTGCCCTCCTCTAAAGAAAAAGGCTGAATTTTGGCTTTTGAAGCAAACCCTGAAATGAAGCAGGTGGTAGCACTGCCCCAGAGCAAACCAGGATTTTGAGAGTTTTGTTGTGCTTCTGCTTGATGTGTGGAAGAGTTTTCTGTGTTAGCTGTGACCCTGGACAAACTGGACTCTACAGATTTGAAGGCTTAAGGGCAGAGTGGGCCCCAAACTTTGGCAATTCATCCCCATCACTCATCTGCTTTTAAAAATCCCTGGATGTGACCTAGCAGCCTCATAGATGTTCTTCATGGAGCTCAATGCAGAGAGCTACCAGTGCACTTTGTACTGCTGTACAAGCAGTTGTCATGGTTTCTCTGTTAAATTTAGCAGAGAATTGAAATTCTTTAGTGGATTTCCTGCATATTTACTATGTATCTTTGGAAAAGGTGTCTTTTAGTAGGTTACAAAGTATTTATCGCTAAGTTGCACTTACCCTGCATAGCTTTATTTCTGTATCTGTCTTGAGTCCAAGTCGTTGTTGGCCTCTTATTCTCTTATTTATATTACTGACCCATTAAGTATGTAGTCCATTGTGTTTTTTCATTGCCACTTGCTTTCCTTTTTCATCATCAGCGTAAGTCCAAAAAGATGATCCTTTAATACACTTATGATGCAAAACCTGACTTTATTTAAGTGCTGTGAAAATATTGTGATGCTTTTGTTGATTATAATTTTCATTGTAACATTTCTTAGTTCAAACTAAGCCACTGTATGGAGAGGTAACTTAAAACAGGAATGTTTTTATGAAATTAACAAATTTAATAACATCCAGCCTTTAAAGTAATACTGATTATCCTTGTAGTTTTGCTTCCTTACCCCTGTTTTCAAATTCTAGCATGATTTTACTGCTTGTTCTCATTATATCTGAAGTAAATAATTTCTATCTCACATACTTCAAAAATGAGGACTGCAATCTTATAAATAATTTTGATTTTGGTAGCATTTGATTTTTTTATAGCTTAAAATCTCCTACAGATTGAAGGGAAAAAAATAGGTTTGAATTTGAAGTAGGGATCAAAGACTAACTTTTGAATCTAGATCAAGTGTGTTCTCTAATATATGTTCCTGGAAAATAAGCTTTCAAAAAGCTTATACTTTAGCTTTTCTTTAGGCATAGTTACTTGATGGATGTAGCAGTCAAAGATGGATGGATCAGCTTTCAATCCTGTATTGCATAATTTTATAAAAGCTGAAAACAGTCAAATTAGGTCTAATCGGATCTGAACTGATCAGATCAAAGATATGTCTGGTCTAATATCTCATTCACAACAGGTCAATAAGAGATGGCATAGGCACGTAGGAAGGAGTTGGACAAGTGAATAGCAGTACTTCCCTGGCATGCTTTGTTAACATCCATCAATTTGTATTTTATGACCTTCCTCTCTAAATTTGCAGTTGTCACTTAAACATTATCTAGTTGAGAAAGAAGACTCCCTAACGCTATTTGATTCTTTGTGATATAATTCCTTAGAATACTTGATAGTTTTTCATTAGATACCATATCTGTGGTTTTCAACCAAATATCTTTAGTTTTTCTCTTGAGAAGATGCAATTCACTGAAGAATCATATATACCTGTTTTAAAATTTAGACTTAAACTTTAAGTCAGGAAGTTTATGGCACTTAATAAGACCTTAAAACTATCTTCTTCTTTGTTATTGTTGTATTTTTCTGTTGGTTTTTTTGGTAGTGTTTATGTTGTTTTGGTTTTGTTCGTAGGGATGTATTCCATGGTAGTAATGCTAGATGGGCTTGTGGCTGTTTGTTCCTAGATTTTAAGTTAGAATGCATAAAGCCAATATCTTGTTCATAAAAATTCCCTCTGAATTCAATGAATAAAAAGTGGGGGTTGACTCTTGGAACTCGTCGTGGTTTAACCTGGCAGGCAGCCAAATACTATGCAACTGCTTACTCATTTCCCCGCCCCCCCGCAGTGGGACAGGGAGAGAATCAGAAGGGTAGGAGTGAGAAAAACTTGAGGGTTGAGATAAAGACAGTTTAATAGAACAGAAAAGGGAAAATAATAATGATAATGATAGAATATACAAAATGAGTGATGCACAATGCAATTGCTCACCACCCACGCTGACCGATAACCAAGTAGCAATCGCTACTTCCTGGAACATGCCTATCATTCATATACGGAGCATGACGTCACATGGTATGGAATACCCCATTGGCCAGCTGGGCTAGCTGTCCTGGCTGTGCTCCCTCCCAACACTTGTTTTGTTTTGGGTTTGGTGTTTTTTTTTCCCTTGAGCTGAATGTCCTTGACTAGCAGGGTACTTAGCAACAACTGAAAACATCAGTGTGTTATCAACATTCTTCTCATACTAAATCCAAAACACAACACTAAGAAGAAATTTAACTCTATCCCAGCCGAAACCAGGACAGAACTAAATTACCATCGTTGTCCTGTTTGCCAGTTGCCACTTAATGTTCAAATGCCTACTGTGTGATACATTGTGACTTTTTAACATTGATGAACTTCATTAGAACTGCTATTTGTTGGTTTTGTATTTGGAAAAAGTAATTTTTTTCATGTAAATGTGGAGCTAATTGAGGTAATTAATAATTGTTTTGGGATGGATGGAAATTAAGTTTTGAAGAGTCCAATGGAAGTGGAGGAGTAACAGCTGTTTCATGTAACTGCTAACTGAATCATTAAATAAATGTGAATGATTTCATTTGTATGGAAAATTGATAGGGACAACTGTTTTTATCTTGTCTCTTCAATTAGGAGCATGTGTAATTATTTTTCCAAACACTTAATTTTGCTTGGGTTTTGTTTTTTTTCAGGATGGATTAGATGCTTTGGTGTATGACTTGGATTTTCCTGCCTTAAGAAAAAACAAAAACATTGATAACTTCTTAAACAGGTGTAAGTATTTAATGTTTCAGTTACTACATAACAAAAGACTATAAATACCAGCAAAAATAAAAAATAAAAGTGGTCTAGCTTTTCAAAAGGCAGCTAGGGATTTGGAGTGCATTAAGTTTTTGGGTGGAAGTTGTTTTAAGAGTCTGATTATTTATTTATTTCCCAGTGGGAACTGACAGCTACCTATACAAATCTAATCCCCAGCAATCGAATTCCAAGTTTGTTGCCACTGCAAATGGCATTGTTTTCAGTGGCACAAAGCCTTTTAAGAGAAAGGCCTGTTATCTTTGTTCTTGGCAGCCCTCTGGATTCCCATAACTTGCTTTGTAATTTCATGTACTAATATATTATAAGCAATTAACAGTAAAATGACATTACACGTATACAGTGTCAAGAAATCATATTAAAAATTTGTTCACTGACAGACTAGAGCATGTGTTTTGTAGACTTTTTTAGTATAAAAAGTCTCTTTTCATTATCCCATGAAATTCTTATATTGCATAGCTGCTGTATTTACTTGTGCATGCAGCTGATGTGTCTGCAGAATTCTTCTCTGTATTTACTCTGTATTTTTCCACTACCATGTTTCCTGTACATTCTACTCTGTAATAACATTTTAAATTAATAAGGTTGATTTTTTTGTAAGAGAAGTCATAGTTCCATAATTTTCATAATTAAAAAAACCCCAACAAACAAAAAGGCATTTTCTAAAGGGTGCCAAACTGGCAAATTCTGGAAATCATAGCAGAGATGTTTGCTGATTCGAGACTTGCTTCTGCCTGTCGACTGAATGGGCAAGCCTTGAAATTAAACTAATGTTATTAGATTTTTAGAGCCGTAAGCATCTCAATTAAATGCTGTAATAAATAGCTTTTGTGGCAAATATAAAGTAATTTGACTAAAATAATTTCTGTCGTTGCTTCATTGAAATTTATATTTTTGTTTCTGTTTCCAGGTGTTTTCAAATAGTTTACCTGGTGCAACTGTAAGCAAAGACAGTGAATTTGTGGGTTTTATTTTATATTATTCCCCATTTGTGGGAATATATGAATTCACTACATCTATTTGATGGCTTACTTGCACATAAGCTAGTTGCTGAAAGGCCCAAGTTCAAATGGTCTGCTTAACTTTTCACAGTTCAAACTATATTTGATACCGTACACCATGTTACATGCACATTTTGTCTACTCAGTTATTTACAAAGAAGGTGTGGTGAAACTCTTGGAGAAAAGAGAAGTTGTATTAGCCAAAGGAAATACTCATTGCAACAGATAATTTGAATGTAATTTTTATAAATAGTGAAATCATTTGTGAGTCTCAAAGAGCTTCACTTTTGCATTTGGGGCTGAGTGAAGGAAAACTGAAAACTTACATTTACAGTCTGATAATGAATATCTTGTAGGTATAAATTATATACTGTGCAAGATGTGAGCTGAAGTAATATGAAGGTGGAGAACAGACCATATTATTTCACTTCAGACTGCCTTCAGAACACTAATCTTGCTGTGTTGGCTGAAATATGAAAGCAAGCTGTGGATCTGCGAGTAGGGGCTTTAGAGGGAACTGCGTAGTCTAGTTTGTCTCAAATTTCTGATTTAAAAAAAAATAAGTAAACATATAGGAACATTTTCATGTTTAATTTTGTTCTAATAGAAAACTGTTTAAAACATCTTTTTCCAGCATTAACTGTCCAAACAGTTTGCTCCATTATTCTGGAATTTTAAAATGAATTTCTAGATTAAAAATAAAATGGGAGTTTTCTTCCTGTATTTTACAGACTGATTGCCCTATGAGCCAGTCCTTATCCCCTCTTATTTTTCTCCAGTTTACATTGTATATTTGCAGAGCCTCCAAAATCTACTTCTACCGCCTAAGGTTGTAAGGGTTATTTTGCAAATGTAGGACTTTATTAATTTTCTACCATGTAGAATTAAAAGAATACAGAAATCAATATTCAAGGTGGTTGAGAGCCCTTCTTTGTGGCAGGGACTCAGTTTATTTCAAGACAGCATCTAAGCTTATAATCAAACTTCGGGGCAAATTGGGGAATGCAGTCTTTTGCCATGGGAGCTACCCCAGTGTAAGCTGGCCGGGTCCTCCACTGTTAGTGAGAGATAAGGAACTGCCTATTTAAATATGTTGCAGCCTGATAAACCTTGTTTAACAGATCTTAGAATACGGAGGTCAAATTTCCAATGCTGCTGTTACTGTAACATATTGTCTGAAGATAATTGAGTGTTAGTATGTCTCTCAAGCAGTAAATTGCAGTTCGCAACTGCTCACAGGCCTGGTTTTTGTAATTTAAAAATCCTTAGCTTAGATTGCTCTTCAGATGTATTTTCCTTAATTCTGTTCTGGCCATAAGTGAGGCTTGTGAAAACCATTTAAAGCATTCGTGCCTAGCTTTCTTTTGCACCAGTGTCAAGGTTTTTCATTCAGAAGTAGTGGACCTCCTGTTGTGAGATTACTAGGCAGTAAGTTAACAATAACTAGAAAATTGTTGATATGAGAATTGCTGTATTTTAGTTTCGTGCAGTCTTACTCGTCCTCCACTACAGGTCAGTTTTCACCAGTGCAAATAAGGCAATGCATTTTTTTTAAAAAATTACTGAGTATTTTGATCCTTGTGTGAAATAATTTGTCAGAATTTACAATTTTAATATGATTTATTGAAATCAGCTAGTGGTATGCTGCATTGTAAAGGGATGCCTTTACATTAGACAGTAAAGCCACAGAGTATTTATTCAAACAAAGCTATGTTTGTTCCTGTTGTAGTAACAAAATCTTACTGAAATTTGATTGTACGTGTGCTGCTTTTGTTTTAGATAATGGCCAGTGTAGGTAGAAATCTAATGGTAATTTTCTGTCGTCATTTTTTAAAGACATGAACTTAGAAAATTACGTTTCTCCTCCTTTCTCTTCCCCTGTCCTTACTTCTTTCTAAACTTTGCTTTTAGGCCTACCTAGAGTATTATTTTTGAAAATAAAATATCGTTGCATAATTTATTTCATTAAAGCATATCTGTTTTAGTAGATGTTCCTTGCTTTTAGAAATACTGAAGCATGAAGCTTTTCCATGTAATCTCATGCCAGTGTTTGACCCACATGGATTAAAATAGACTGTTTTAATCTTTGACCAAATTTGGAATTAGAATATCAGCCCACTGGGAGTTTGCAAATTATTCTAGTTTACAGAATGACAGGTTTATATAAATAATTGCAGTGATTCCCACTGCATGTTTTAAATTAAAATTTACTTTTTTGACTATTAGGAATAATAAAAGTGCAGAAAAATGGAAGCTTTTTTTTAAATAGTTTCTTCAAGTGTCTTGTATGTGTACTTTATACTTTCTCAGATGTGTTGCATATTTATCCAGAAATAATCTTTTTAGACTGATTAGCTTACAAGCAAGATCATGCTGGATATGAAATTTTTGCATAGCTTTCTGGCGATGCAGGTAATTATTTTAAAAGAAATTCCCAAATTAAGACCTCTGGTAATTTGATTGTACAGTAAAGTCATTGCATTATGTTTATGTCAGGTTTTGGTAACTATGGTAATGAGAATGAGGTCATGCATTTTGCAGAGAGGTTTCCAATAGGAAGGTAGGTTCAAAAGGAAGTCCTCTCTTTAAGCAGCACATCTTCTAATGACTATGAAAAATGGAAATGAGATGAATGGTTTAATTAAATTGATTATATATGAAATGTGAATTTTCTTTTATGTAGATAAAGACACAGTAAATAAAATGAGAGATCTGCGCATGAAAGCTGAAGATTATGAAGTGGTAAAGGTGATTGGTAGAGGGGCATTTGGGGAGGTTCAGTTGGTAAGTTATGTTTCTGTTTGTACATTTGAATGTATTCTGTAGTATTTTGCTTGTGTGTCTGTTTCAGAATACAGTGTTCAGAAGATGAAGGGTTATAATATTATAGCCTTAAGCTCAGTGAAACTTTATTTCTTTTTATGCCATGGAAATGTTTTTGAGACTCTCATATTTCGGAACTCTCAATACGCACGAATACTTACTTTGCATTGTAGTCATGCATCTCTATTAAAATAAAGTGGAATGTGTATTCTTCATAATCAAGAAAATTACCCTTTGCTACTGTATATGTGGACACACGAACGAATCTTCAGGACTAGAAGAATTTCTGCCAGTTCAGGGACTACACCGGAGTTTTGTCAACATAGTTCTCAGAGATGAGAGATGTTGTGTGTTTTTTGTGATAGATTAAGAACTAGGCTTGTTCATCCTGCTTTATTAAATTGAGAACTGGTGGGAGAAACTGGAAGTATGGCAGTAAGTACACATGTCTGCTAATGAACTCTGGAAAATGCTTATAGATTTAACTTCATAGTATTTAACAGGTGCCAATACTTGTCCTTTTAAAGACACGTACCTACAAATTAGAAAGCGACTGTTATGCCTATGGACTTCTATGATGAATAGTTCTAGCAAGTGTTTTAAGAGCAATGCATATATTGGCAGAAAATGCAATGTAATTATTCTGTAGACCTACAATATATAATTCTTTATCTTATCAAACTTGTTAAATAGTGAAGCAGGAAAAGTAACATACTCAGCGGTGTTCTTCATACATTAATGTGGCAAACTAATGTGATCTGTATGTCACATTTGTCTTCATAGGTAAGGCATAAATCCTCAAGGAGAGTGTATGCCATGAAGCTTCTGAGCAAATTTGAGATGATAAAAAGATCAGATTCTGCATTCTTCTGGGAAGAAAGGGATATTATGGCTTTTGCTAATAGTCCCTGGGTTGTTCAGGTATAGTGATATTCCTTTTAAAATATTGTCATTATAGAATGATGTTGTTACAACACGGCATAACTTGGAATTAGATGTTTTCATTTTCACCTTTTCAAACTCCTTTTTTGGTTGTATTAGTCTGTTAGGGAAATACATTATTAACATTAGGA